CCACAGCACTGAGAAGAACCAGCGAAAGAAACTCAGCGGGCTTTTTTTTTAATTGAAATATAAAATATACCACCACAAAAAACATTTTACTAAGCCATTACTAACCGTTAAGTAGACAACATTTCCTCTATTTACTTATTACATTATTATTCATTTTGTACTATACAAAATGGTTATTAAAGACAATTAATAGTTAAGAAAGCGAAATACTTAAGCTATATAGCAATAGTAACCCAACTAGAGGTCTGAGGTTATATTTGCTATTTATACTAACAAATATAAAAAATATAGTGTTTGGTGTTTTCGCAGTGTGATATATGATTGATACATACAATTGCTAGTTATTACATATGTGTACGTTTATAATGGAGAATTATACGTGTTGGTTAGGGAGAAGTGAGAGCTGATGTCTACGAAAACTCATCTGATCCGATTTTTCAGCCGTTTTCAGCCACCGCTTATGGAGAGTTAGATAACTAATAACGCGTAAAATTCGTAGCCCTTTCGTAGCCAACGGTCAACGGCGTAACCCATTTGGCGTCGGTGCATGTCAGTGGAGCGAGCGTTGGCGTGGAGTTATTGATTTTGCCGTCCTCGGATGTAGGTCAGAGGCTCTACTGGCTCTTGGCCTACGCCGTAGCCCGGGCGTAGCTGTCCGTAGCGTTTATACGTGTTAGCATGCATTGATTACATCGTTTGTTTGTGAATTCGTTTATATATAAATGTACTAAGTTGTAAAAAAATTTGGTCGTACATTTATAACGGTCTCGTCAGTTTGTTTCGTTTTTGGCCACGTAACAGTCTTCAGTGTTGCACGAATGGGCAGGTCCGTCCAGCGAAGTACTACAACTTTGGACACAGAAGACCGGTGTGAAGTGGAAGTACAATTCGGCGTTTCGTCTGGTGAGTGAGGTAGCCGGGGTCCTCATTATCAAAAGGTAGCAACACATCTGCAACCCTATATTTTATCATAATTTTCTTTCCATTTTAAACAATGCAATTTCAAATATCGTTTTACAACTGTGATTTGAACGAGAGACGTCGCCATTGCTATTTAAAATTCTAAATAGAATCGCTAACATTAATCGTAATAAGGCCCTGGAGGAATATTATCTAAGAAATAATGTCCCTGTAATTAATTCTGATAAGTAAGGGTGGTTTCGCGCACAGCAATTATTTGAACATAAACCTTTGAGACATAAAATCTCATTGAGAAGTAATACATAATAGCTACATGAGCTACATGACTTCTTTTCATGGGTCTAGTAATAAAGTGAGAATGAAAATTTGTGTCATATACTCATAACAAAGATTCTTTCGCTCGCGAATTAAGTTAATTTCAGCCTGTTTGAGTCCACTGTTGAACATAGGGCTCCCCCATATACTGCCACGAAGTACGATCCTAAGCCACCTGCATCCATCGACTTCCCGCACACTTGCACAGGTCGTCACTCCATCTAGTGGGGGGTCGTCCTACACTGCGATGGCCAGTACGAGGCTGCCACTCGAAAACCTTTCTTCCCCAACGGTTATCGGTTCTACGAACTATATGGCCGGCCCATCGCCACTTCAGCTTGCTAATCCTCTGAGCTATGTCGGTTACCTTGGTTCTACCGCGGATGTCTTCGTTACGACCTCTATCACGCAGAGAAATACCGAGCATAGCCCACTCCATAGCTCGCTGAGCGACTTTGAGCTTCCTCATACGGCCAGCGGTGAAGGACCACGAAAGAATTAAGTTTAAGAACGTATAATTGTCATTGAAATCCGTCGCTTGGGAGCCCTTTCAGGAAATGTTTTAAGATAGATTACAAGTCAGTAAATCAAATAATATATATGAAAAATAATTAAAAAATCATAAAATTATACAAAACAAACCCCCAGCACCATACAGCAGCCATTTTAGTTTTTTATAATTTTCCTGTAATCGGTACACTTGAGTGCAATGGAGACTAATGTAAAAACATGTAATTCGTCAAAACCGGTTCAGCTTTTTAGTAGAGTACGAGGTACATTGGTACAGACAAACATACAGTTCAATCACATAACCATCCTTATTTGTGTATATGTCCCACCGTTGGGCAAAGGCTTTTGTACAAAAGACATTTGGGCATTTGGACACCACGCGACTCCACTGCAGATTGGCGGAATTCATACATCTTCAATTTTTTTTTCACGATAAGGAAACTCGGATTTGATGATGGCATCCCAGAGAAATCGAGGGCCATTATTGAATGTTAACGGTATTAACAATGTTTTTAAATTTCACATTGAAGTCTGTTTTTTTTGTTAAAAATTATATTTGTTACAAAAAATAGGATGTTTTCCTTCACATATGAACACGTGATAAGTCAGCACTTATTACTAACAATTTCATTGGTGCTGGCACTGGGGATCGAATCAAGGTTGTCCGAGTACACTGAATTAAAAGTGAGCGCTCGGACACTGAGCTATAACGGCTACACATATATCACAGAACACATTTATGTATAATTCATAAAGAATTCTTTAACTTGTAGAGCCGAAACTACACGATGACGTGATACTTATCACATATTTATACGTGAAGCAAAAACTTTGTGACCCTTTTACGAAAATTGGGCGAGCGGAGGCCTACGAAATTTCCCACACTTATAGTTTACATAGAAAGGAGTGCAGAATGCTAATATTTATTAAAGTTATGCATAAAAATACATTAAGTCAATAAAAAAAACATTACACACACTACCATGTATAAACTTATGGTCGCATTTCGACAACTAGGCGATCACTAGGTCATCCCTACATAGTATAAAACAAAGTCGTCCCGCTGTCTGTCTGTTCCTATGTATGCTTAGATCTTTAAAACTACGCAACGGATCTTGGTGCGGTTGTTTTACTAGATAGAGTGATTCGAGAGGAAGGTTTATATGTATAAAACATTAAACCTAGTTTTATATATTCACGGTAGTAGGACCACGCAGCAGCCTCAGTTATTGCACGAATGGGCAGGCTCATCCGGGTAAGTACCACGACCTCACAGAAGACCAGCGTAAAGTGAAAGTATAATACTTTCGCGTTTCGTCTGGTGAGTGAGGTGGCGGGAGACCTATTTTCAAAAGGTTGTCAACGCATCTGGAACCCTCGGGTGTAGCAGATGTCCATGGGCGGCGGTATTCACTTAACATCAGTTGAACCGTCAGCTCGCTTGACAACTTCTCACATAAAAAGAAATATAATTCAAAACCTAACTCTACTTCCAGCGTTACTTTAAATCGACTGACTATTGCGTCTTTGTTCGGCACATTGCGGGCGACCTTGTCTACGTCATTACACATCAATTAATATGTTCGTGACAGGTCTGTGTCTTGGTGGACACAAATCTATGAAACACAGACGTCGACATAATCACTGCAGTGTGGTAGAGAAACGGATATATGTCGTGCAGCATAATTAACATGATTTTTTATTAACAACTAGCTGTGCCCTCGATTTCGTCCGCGTGGAATTTAAAATAAAAAAAATCTAAAATAAATGTAGCCTAAGTTACTCCTTATTACATCCGCTATCTGCCAGTGAAAGTCCCGTGACGGCCCGTCCAAATCGGACCAGCCGTTTCAGAGATTAGCCGGAACAAACAACAGACAGATTTACGGTGGTAGGGCCACGCAGCAGCCTCGGCTGTTGCACGAATGGGCAGGCCCGTCCGGGTAAGTACGACGACCTCACAGAAGACCACCGTAAAGTGGAAGTATGACAAATACTTCCGCGTTTCGTCTGGTGAGTGAGGTAGCCGGAGGCTTTCAAAAGGTTGTCAACGCATCTGTAACCCTCTGGTGTGGCAGATGTCCATGGGCGGCAGTATTCACTTAACATCAGGTGAACCGTATGCTCGTTTGACAACTTTTCGCATAAAAAAAAAACAGACAGACAGACAAAAATTGTAAAAAATGTTATTTTGGTGTATACATCCATATGCATTTAGTAAAAAGGGGTTATTTTAATATTACAAGCAGACACTCTAAATTTATTTATCTGTATAGAAAAAGGTAATGGACTCCAAACATTTAACTGTGGTGGGGCCACGCAACAGTGTCAATGGGCAATATTTATATAATTTTCATTTTAAGCAGTGCTTTAACCACTAAGCTAAACGGCCGATTGCCACACCGAGCAAAATCTCAAGGCTATTTCATTTACATTGTTTTTTTCCCATTTTAAGCAGTGCTTTAACCACTAAGCTAAACGGCCGATTGCCACACCGAGCAAAATCTCAAGGCTATTTTATTTACATTGTTTTTTTTCCCATTTTAAGCAGTGCTTTAACCACTAAGCTAAACGGCCGATTGCCACACCGAGCAAAATCTCAAGGCTATTTTATTTACATTGTCTTTTTCCCATTTTAAGCAATGCTTTAACCACTAAGCTAAACGGCCGATTGCCATACCGAGCAAAATCTCAAGGCCATTTTATTTACATTGTTTTTTTCCCATTTTAAGCAATGCTTGGCGCATATATTATTGTTATGTCTTTTATAGTCCACAAATGTAGTTTTAAAAAGAGAATTAAAAAGAGCGTTGTCGCCATTGCTATTTAAAAATTTAATAATGCTAATCTCTGGAATTAAATGAATCATTCAAATTCGTAGAAACGATAGCGGCGTACTAATTTACCCCTATAGTGGCGTATCAACTCACACCTACAGCGGTGTACTAACTTCCCATACAGCGGCGTACCAACGTAAACCTATAGTGGCTTAAAAACTTACCCCTGTAGGGCAGTAACAAATTACACCTACAGCGGCATACTAACTTCCCCTATACCGGCGTACCAACTTACCCATATAGCGCCGTAACAACGTAAACCTATAGTGGCGTAAAAACTTACCCCTATAGGGCAGTACAAACTTACACCTAAAGCCGCGTACTACCTTCCCCTATACAGGCGTACCAACTTACCCCTATACCGGCGAAACACCGTAAACCTATATTTACGTACAAACTTAACCCTATGGGGCACTACCAACTTACCGCTACAGCGGCGTACCGATTTATCCACATAGCGACGTACCGGCATACACCGACAGCGGCGTACCAACTTGCCCCTAATGGCGGCGGTGAACTCACCCCTATAGCGCCGTTGTTGCCCAGGAAGCGCTTCTGTGTGTTGTCCACTTGGCACGCGAGCGAGTTGAGCAGGTAGATGGCGATGCGCTGCACGAAGCCCTCCTGGTTCACGTCGGAGACCCCGTTCAGCAGGATCTGCACCACGCGCTCGTACTCGAACAGCTGGTGAATGCAACGCACGTACAGCTACGGTCCAGGTACAAGGACAGGTGATAAGGAAAGCAACAGTGTCAATGTCCGTCCGGTGAAGTACCACGACCTCACAGAAGACCCGCGTGAAGTGGAAGTGTTACAGTTGTGCGTCGCGTATCGTGGTGAGTGAGGTAATCGGGACCCACTTTATTAAAAGGAGGCAAATCTCAAACTCTACGGGTTGCAAATTTCCATGCGCGGCGGATATCACTTAACATCGGGTGAACCGCCGACTCGCTTACCATCTTCTCAGTTAAAAAACTGTTATACAGAGGTACTTTAGTCCGACATCTTAGAACGGTTGAGAATATTAAATGAATAAAGTATGCGAATTTGGAATCAAGTACTACCTAAAAAAAACAATATCTCACTCACAAATCATTTTCTTTTTGATTTTGAGGAATTCCCTGGTGCACCTCCAGTGTCCAAGGTCCGATATCAATGAAATTTATATATATATATATATATATATATATATATATATATCGAGCAACCTGAGTTCGATCCGCGGTGCCGGCACCAATGAAATTGTTGATTTTAAGCGGTGACTTATCAAGTGCCCAGCTGTGAAGGAAAACAACATGAGGAACGTGATAATTTTCTAAATAATAACAAAAAAAATATTTCGAAGATGTGAAGTCGGCCAATCCGCAGTGAGGCCGTGTATTGGACTATGCCTGATACCCTCTGTTCAGGGGAGGACTTTGCCCAGGAGTGGGACATGTATATGCTGTTATTTAACTTTTCACGTTGCCACCTTTTCATATAGTGGGCCCCAGTTACCTTTTTTTATATGAAAAAGTGGCAAACGAGCTGACGGTTCACCTGATGTTAAGTGATAACCGCCGCCCCTGGACATTTGCAACACCCGTTGGGTTGCAGAAGCGTTGTCACCTTTAAATAATGTGGGCCCCGGCTACCTCACTCACCAGACGAAACGCAGAAGTATTACACTTCCACTTCACGCTAGTCTTCTGCGAGGTCGTATTACTTCCCCTGCCCATTCGTGCAACAGCCTAAGCTGCCGCGCGGCCCTACCACAGTACGCCGATCACCTGTATGGGTGCAATCCTGATCGGTCCACTTGCATCTAGCGTCGTATCACTTCCCCAGCCCATTCGTGCAACAGCCGAAGGTGCCGTACTACCCTGCCACAGTCCGCCGATCACCTGTGTAGGTGTTGCCACCCTTATCGGTCCACTTGCGTGCAGCTGTTGAATTCATTCCGCTTCTCGCAACGCCTATCTCCGGAGCCGTTGCCGACAATGTTATCGAAACGCGGCGGCGGATTGCAAAACACACATTGTCTCGGCGGCCGTGATCGATTGTTCTCGGGCGCGGTTTTTACGAGGAACCCGCGAAAACGGCGCGCCTTCTAGATCCTTCGACGCGGGGAATTCTCGGCGGTATCCGACGTCAACGTCAGTTATTTGCGCTCGAAACGACAAGGGAAACAAGATGGGGGCTTAGAAATCTTATTAATTACAGTATTACTAGTTTTTTTTTTTAATGGAAAAATAGGCAAACGAGCATGCGAGCCGATTGGTGGTAAGTGTTTACCACCGCCCATGGGAATCACAAATGAGGAAGGTTTAGGCTCTCTTCTTAGTTAGGATTTCAATATAAATTATAGGGTAATAGTAGACCAGTGTGAAATTGTGTTTTTCTACGAAAGAGTGCAGAATGCTAATATTTTTTTTTAATTATGCATAAAAATACATTAAATCAATATAGAAAACATTGCACACACCACCATGTACTTGACACCCACGCATATATACTCTTTTGTTTATTGTGTAATACAATACAGTATAGATTAATATTGCTCAAACTTATAATTGAAATTAATTATGGTCGAATTTCGACCACTCGGCGTGCAATAGTATCAAATAACTATGTAATTTACTATATTTCATTTAAACAAAAATATGCCATTGTCATACATTCTTTGTAAGAAATTTATCAACCAATTTATTTTTGTGAAAACATCTACATGTCTTTTCTTCGCCAATAGCGGTAAACATAAGATCCACAATGGCATTTGAATTTGACGAAGAGTTATGGAGGTTATGGCGTACCGACAAAAACAAGACTTGGGAAATAATAAATTATAACTATAATTAATTAATAAATACTAATTATAATAATTAATTAATAAATTAAAAGTATATAGAGTTTGCTTTTTAACGTACGAGCGTGGCAAATTGGCTGGTGGATTAGCTGAACACCTATGGATATCTGTATCAGGAGTTGTGTGACAGTTGCAAACATAATAGGAATTTGGTACCAAATGAGCAGAAAGACTAGAGCATTAATGATTACTAGTGGTCGCCCAGTTGTCGAAATTCAACCATAATACATGGTAGTGTATGTAAAGTTTTTTTTATTGATTTAATTTATTTTTTATGCATAATAAAAAATAGCGTTCTGAACTCCTTCTCTATTTATACGGATAAATAAAATTGGAGTGTCTGTTTGTAATATTAAAATAACCGCTTTTTACTAAATGCATATGGATGTATACACGGTACATATATCAAAATAATATTTTTTACAGTTTTTGTCTGTCTGTCTGTCCGTTTGTTCCGGCTAATCTCTGAAACGGCTGGACTGATTTGGACGGGACTTTCACTGGCAGATAGCTGATGTGATAAGGAGTAACTTAGGCTACTTTTGTTTTAGATTTTTTTTTATTTTAAATTCCACGCGGACGAAGTCGCGGGCTCAGCTAGTATAAACCATAAGTGTGGGAAGTTTCATAATCCATCGTCCGATTTTCTTAAAAATGGGTACAAAGTTTTTGCTTCACGTATTAATATTATTATTGAAGGTCTTCTGTGACGCTACGACCGTCTAGATTCTAGAATATGAGACAATTTATGCAATTGTTCCAGCCTATTTAACTGAATGTTCGCACGTGTTATTGTAGCCAACGATTTCTTCCCCTTTGATCTGGTGACGGAACTTAAATCAAAAACTTAAACGTCGCATTTTATCTGTATAAATAAAATGACATAAATTCGAGCTTACAATTTGTCTATTAAGTCATCTTTGTTTTATTTCTTAAACACTTCATAATATCTTTATTTAGTGTAAAATTGTTAAAGTTTTAAGATACAAAGATTTTTATAACCACTATGTGTTCAGTTATGTCTTTTCTTGCCGTGGAAAAGTAGAGCAAGCGGTGTAGTTCTTATTATAATAACACAGACAAAGTCGCAGGTAGCAGTGAGTTATAAGTAATTTTATATCCATTGGCGTATCTAGAATTATTTTTCAGGGTGGGCCTGGGCCTTTACTATGCGTCGCATTAAAAAAGTAACAGTTCGTTATCGTTAATAGTTTTTACTAATTTATAATAGTAGTATTAAGTAATTAGTAGTTGTGTCTTCACAAGTAAATAAACGGAATGTGAAAACTATGTACACAGATGTACAACATAGATTTCTCGGCTGTAGATAATTATTTTGATTTCAATGAATTTTATGAAGATTCTGAGATGTCCAGCCTAGAATTGCGAATCAGTAACCTAAAATCCTGGGGTGGGCACTAGATAATACTGGGGTGGGCATGGCCCACCCGGCCCCCCTGCTATATACGCCAATGTTTATATCATATCCTCAGAACCGGGATACGTATAAATGTAACATGAGCAAAGATTCGAGTAAAAATTCTCGATTTTATTTGATATCTCATAAGATGCTACGAAAGCCCTCGCGAAATAAACTTTAACGCAGGATAGGAAAGAAATTGAAAATGGATGACTTATTCTAAAGGACAGTTATCATGAGGAACCTCGTTAAGATCTCTTACAAATAAAATAGGTCGCCCTGTTGTCGGAAATTCGACCGTAATTGATTAAATCTTAATATTGTTCTTCGAAACTCGGCCAACCTGACCTTATCTTTCAGTGACGAAGTCTACACTGCAGTGTTTAATATAATGCTTCTCTGTTATCTGGGTGGTCATATATCTGTAAAATGCTTTTAAAAAATAAATATATGTAGGATTTATTATTTAATAGTTGAGTAAAAGATGATTTTTGAACGAAGTATTGTGTGAATGAGAAGGATGGATGACGTAAAAGGGATTGAGGGACTTTTCGCAACGACGCCACGAACGAGTAACGTGTATCTGTGTCTTAAAATGTATTTATTTAAATAAAGATGAAAATAGTAACAATATACTCAAAATAAAGATTTTATTTAATCTACGCCTACAAAATTCTCGTCCGGGATAACGGGCTTAAAGTGATTTTTGGGTATTTTAATAACGAGAGAAAGTGATCACGTACGCCAGCCGCCATTACGTGTTACAAAGGAAGCGTATTAATTGTCACTTTAAAATAACGACGATAATATTTACGACGGTTAAAGATGATGGAGAGCAATAACGACGATGGTAAATATAATCCATTCTTCCTGATGGATTCCCTACCTAAGTTTACGGGGGATGATATGACGTATTCCTCTGCAAAATGCACGCAGGATATTGAAGACAACGCAGATATTTTCGGATGGAACCAACTACAACGGCTAATTATCGCGCGGAGGTGCTTGGCTGGTACTGCACAATTATGGCTGAAGACGGAAAAAGCATTTAAAACTTATGATGAATTTAGAACGGCTCTGATGAAGGAGTTTCCTGATACTATAAATTCCAAACAAATGCATGAAATGATGAGTAATCGTAAAAAGCAGGCTAATGAAACGGTTTATCAATACATGCTTGTCATGAAAGAATTGGGAAAAAGGGCTAAGTTTGCAGACTACGTCACCATACAGTATATAGTCGATGGCATAAACGACTACGAATCAAACAAATTATTATTCTATGGTGTTACATCCTATTCAGTGCTCAAGGAGAAAATAGCATTGTATGAAAGTTACAAACAGAAAACCAAGAAGAGTACTATAAGCAAAAGAGAAGTAACAGTAATGAAGCCGATGGCACAACGGGAAACTGGAGGACAGACATTCCAACGTTGTTACAAGTGCGGTGAGAAAGGGCATCTGTCGAGTTCCTGTCAAAGAGGTGTAAAATGTTTTAGGTGTAATGAGTTCGGTCACATAGGCGCAGAATGTAAGAAAACGGAACCTGTAATAACACAAATGCATGCAAAGCGGGATCGACGATCGATGTTCATTCAATATCCCACGCTGACATCAGAGGGCGCTAGTTCCGCTAACGTGGACGTGAATGAAGAAGGTGAACGTGAACGAAATGTAATGAGTTGCGATCCGAAGGAAAGAGCGAGTGCCTGCATATCAAATGTTTGTGACAGTAAGGGGATTCAGTGTCAACTTCAAAAACGTCAGTCTGTATTTAATGTAGATAAAGGTGATGCGATAATTAATAGAAGCATAAAAAATGTAAAAATAGGTAATTTCGTGACGAACTGTTTAATTGATACGGGTAGTGATTTAAACTTAATAACTTTAAATTTCTTTTCTAAATTAAATATTGGATATACACCTGTCAGAATGTTGCTTACCGGGTTGGGTTGTTCACAAGTATTTTCAATCGGTAAATTCGACACGGAAATTAATTATCGACGATCACCATTACAATATTAATTTTTATATTGTACCAACTAATGTAATGCCACATGATGTAATATTAGGTCAACCATTCTTAGTAAATACTGTTACGGTTATAGACAAAGGTGCCGTTGAAATTAGGCCTCCATGTTACGATAGTTTATATCAAAATGCTATATGTCTTTTTTCCAGTAATGATGACCAATGTAGTGCGGTAAAAGATATTATAAATGATTACGTACCTTTGAAGACCAAAGATGCACCCATTAGGCTGAAAATTGTTCTAAAAGATGATATTCCAGTTACACAACGGCCTAGAAGATTAGCTTTAACCGAAGAACTATTAGTGAAGCAGCAAGTTGATGATTGGTTGAAGATGGGCATCATTCGTCCTAGTTATTCTGAGTATGCAAGTCCCTTAGTATTGACAAAGAAAAAAGATGGCAGTGTACGAGTTTGCGTAGATTATCGAAAGATAAATCAGAAAATGGTGAAAGACGAACATCCATTACCTGTAATCGACGACCTTATTGACAAATTGAGTAGAGTGAATGTGTATAGCACACTCGATTTAAAAAATGGCTTTTTCCACTTACCAATTGAAGAAGAGTCGGTGAAGTATACATCATTTGTAACGAGTAACCCTGAAGGCCAGTATGAATTTTTAAGAGCACCGTTTGGTCTTTCTATCTGTCCTAAATACTTTACAAGATACATTAACATCATATTTGCGGATTTTATAAGAACGGGAATGGTTTTGATATTTATTGACGATATAATTATACTTTCAAAAGATGAAAAAAGGGAACTGAACGACTTAAAGCTTTGCTGAAGGTGGCAGCGGAGTATGGGCTCGAAATAAATTGGAAGAAGTCACAAATACTACAAAGATCTGTTGAATTCTTAGGCTACCATATTTCCAATGGAACGATAAGACCATCTAGTGAGAAAACAAAGGCTGTTATGACCTTTCCAGTGCCTAAAAATTTGAAAGAACTGCACAGCTTCATAGGATTAACTTCGTACTTCAGGAAGTTTATTCAAAATTATGCTTTAATAGCGAAGCCATTAAGTGGTTTATTGAAAAAAGGTGAGTTTAAGTTTGAGGATGTTCAAAGACAAGCTTTTGACGAATTAAAGTCAAAATTATGTTGTGAACCAGTGTTGAAAATATTTGATGTTCATTTGGAAACTGAATTACATACGGATGCTTCTATGCATGGATATGCAGCTATTTTAATGCAACGAGACCCTAATGATGGTTGTCAACATCCTGTTCACTACATGAGCAGAAAGACTACAGAAGTTCAACAAAAGTGTTGCAGTTACGAGTTAGAAGCTTTAGCTGTTATTGAAGCCGTGAAGAAATTCAGAAGATATCTTAGGAATACCCTTTAAAATTGTCACTGATTGTGAAGCCTTTCAAAAAACCTTGAACCAAAAGGATGCATCTGCAAAAGTAGCACGATGGATACTATACTTACAGTATTTTCAGTATTCTATAGAACATAGAACAGGAGACAAGATGCAACATGTTGACGCATTGAGCAGAAACATTTGTTTTGTTGATTTTGAGTTACATGCGAGAATAAAGAAGGCACAAGAAGAAGATGAAGGGTTAAAGATTATCAGAAAACTATTAGAAAAGAATGGATATGAAGATTATTTTTTAGAGAATGATGTTATCTATAAAGGACCGGAGAAGAAATTGGTATTACCTGATATGATGGATATGGAATTGATTAAAAAAGCCCATGGAATTGGACATTTCGGGAAGAAGAAGATTAAGGATATAATAGAAAAAGATTATTACATTACAAAACTAGACAGTAAAATCGATAAGATTGTTTCTACCTGTGTACCCTGTTTATTAGCGAGTAGAAAGTCTGGTAAGAAAGAAGGCTTTTTAAATCCAATTGATAAAGGAGAATTACCACTGGATACTTTACATTGTACATTGTGATCATTTAGGGCCATTAGATGCAACTAAGAAAATGTATAACTACATACTTACTGTAATTGATGGATATACAAAGTTCGTCTGGATTTATCCTGTTAAGACTGTGACAGCAAAGGAAACCGTAGAAAAGTTAAAGTTGCACCAGAAAAATTATGGTAACCCACGGAGAATCATTACTGACCGAGGAGTAGCTTTTACAGGGAATGAATTTCAAGAGTACTGTCAAGAGGAAGGCATTAAACATATCACTATTGCCACTGGAATACCACGCGGAAATGGTCAAGTTGAAAGGGTGAACAGAGTTATTATTTCTACTTTAACTAAGAGGTGTATAGAAGAACCAGGCCATTGGTATAAGCATGTGAGTAAGCTTCAAAGAGTCATTAATAGCACATATCAACGATCAATTAACACAACACCTTTTGAATTGTTAACGGGAGTGAAACTTAAACTGAAGGAAGATTTATCTATTATGGAATACTTAGAAGAGGAAAGCAGAATCGAATTTATGAGTAGAAGAGATGAAACAAGAAAAGGCTAAGGCACAAATATTAAAGATCCAAGAAGAGAATAGAAAGACATATAACAAAAGACGTAAAGAAGGAGAGAAGTACAAGCAAGGTGATCTAGTTGCTATACAACGTGTACAGTTTGGAACTGCGTTAAAATTAAAACCAAAATTCTACGGACCATATCGAATTACTAAGGAGTTGGGAAGGGGTAGGTATGAGGTAGAGAAAATAGACAGAGGTAAAGAAGGGCCGATAAGAATTACATCAGCTTCAGATTATATGAAGCGATGGCCTTGATACAAATTGTTTTTTTTTTTGACTGATTAAGTAATTGTTTTTGTAATTTTGTATTTTTTAAACATCTACTAAAACTGCCTAAACTACCTGTGGTTGTAAAGGAATAAGCTAATTAGTGTTGTTATTTTTTTGTTGTATGTTTAAACACTTATGTCTATGAAGAAGGAAAAAAAATGTTAAGTACTTAGTATAACTGTGGTAAAGTAGCTTCAGTCTGAGGCCAGACTGATTTGCAGAATGGCCGAGTTGTAGGATTAATTATTTAATAGTTGAGTAAAAGATGATTTTTGAACGAAGTATTGTGTGAATGAGAAGGATGGATGACGTAAAAGGGATTGAGGGACTTTTCGCAACGACGCCACGAACGAGTAACGTGTATCTGTGTCTTAAAATGTATTAATTTAAATAAAGATGAAAATAGTAACAATATAATCAAAATAAAGATTTAATTTATCCTACGCCTACATATATACTAGCGATCCGCCCCGGCTTCGCACGGGTGCAATGTGTATGCACTCTATCAAGTAAAAAAAAAACGCATCAAGATCCGTTGCACAGTTTTAAAGATCTAAGCATACATACGGAAAGAAAGACAGAGGGACGACTTTGTTTTAAACTATGTAGTGATGCACAGCAAAGAGACGTTTACACTTCAAGTGACATTTTACCACATTCATTCAATTGTTTTGCTTTGCCCGGAACCCTTCCACTAACACTTAAACTTTACGGTATGGTATTAAAGTTCAAATTGACTTAAGTATTATTACGAATTTTTGTATGGGAATATAGAAAAATATTGTTTTTAGACTTTTTCAGGCAATTCTTTTAATTTTTCTCTCCGTAAGAACCATCAGCGTACTTCAAGGAATATTATAAAAAAAGCGAATTAGCGAAATCGGTTCAGCTGATCTCGAGATTTTCGTTTAGCAACACATTCAGGGATTCATTTTTATATATGGAGATATTTATTGATATTTATAATATGTATGTATAGTTGTTTAAGAAGTTGAAATCAGTCGATTGTTTCTTTCCAAAGATCGAACTGTGCTACTTGTCTCCGAGTTCTGCGAGATCGTGGTAAGGCCCCGCAAGTCTTCGCTGGCGCATGAATGGTTAGGTCCGACGTGAAGTGTAAATGTTAAGTTATTGAGTGAGATAGCTGGGGCCAACTTTCCTAAAAGTTAGCAACTGGTCTGCAACCCTACAGGTGTAGCTAATGTCCATGGGCGCGTTATCACTTAACATCAGGTGAACCGCCAGCCCGCTAGCCACGTTCTCACATAAAAAAAATATACAAGTCGGACTTTCACAACGAAAATCCGGTTCGAAGCGGGATCCCCTAGGCTAGCGTAAGTATGTGCACTAGATAAACCTTATCAGATTCGGCGAGTAAATTTCATAGACGTAAATGGGGCTCTTATCAAGATCCTGTTATCATTGTTTAGCATTAACCTATCAGGTTACTTCGAACTCTGGCGACAGGTGGTAATCGTAATTCATACATTCTCATTTTCATATCCGTTCACATTTCAGTTGTGATCAAAAATCCGGCCAAGTGCGAGTAGGACTCGCGCACGAAGGGTTCCTTACCATCATCATCATAAAACCGGCAAAAAATATCATGTCTGTTGTATGGGAGACCCTATTTAAATGTTTCTTTTATTGTTTTTATAGAATTTGTTGTTATAGCGGCAACAGAAATACATAATATTCTGTGAATTTCAACTGTCACGGTTAATGAGATACAGCCTGGTGACAGACGGACAGACAGACAGACAGACCCTTTGGTTACGGAACCATAAAAATTATACGGCGGCATTGTTCGGGCCTCGTCTTTGTATACCTTTAAGTTTTGTTAGATGATTGATATTACTCAAGTTCATTTGTGTGTGTCCTCGCCTGGCCAAGACTTGATATCTGTTGCTGAAGGACATTTTTGGTGTTGTGAGGGTTCACTAGTGGTGGACTTAAAATCAGCTGCCATCAATAAATTACGTCACAAAATTAAAAAAGTAACAATTCAATATGGCCGACGGAATTATCTGTTGTCTGGTAACTACTAAGTATACCATTTTATTTTACCAACTTATGGTGGCTAAGTGTAGTAAAAACAACATAATCTTTTACAGGCATTTGCCATTCGAAGACATGCTTTATCGATCGAGGCATAAAACCGGCTGGTTTGCAACTACTCTGTCGATACCGAAATGCTCAATGTCCGTAAAAAGTAGAAAAGTCAACGTCGTCGAAATCGCCACACTGGCCCGCATTTCCAAAATGGCGCCCGAACCGCGCCAACGCGCTGTTTTTTTCTTACCTTGGCCTAAATGCGACAACGGTCCGCATCGCTCGGCCTAAGGCCTACCGTCCCGTGCCGCAGCAGGGCCGCATCCACGTGACCCAGTTTAGCGGGGCGCAGTGCGCCGCCGTTGCCCGACGCGCCAAACCCGACCGCTATAGTGCTGTGCATGCGCTATCCATACCGTTTCGCGGTTATCGTTCTTGAAGTGAACACCCCTATTGGCATGTTGGGCAATTTTGAATAGGGAACAACTATGGTTCGCGTCACTAACGCGCTAATATCACGTGTTTTGTCCTTTACGTCGCGTCGGTGACGTTGAAATTTTGATATCATACGGTTTTTTAATATTTAATAACTACAAAACTATTTCTAGTTGTTCGACAGTATTTTTGTTGCGCACTTTAAAATAAAAATTGTATGAAATTTAACAAAAACAATTATTGACACAAAACTATCGTTTATTGTTTTCAATTTCCAAAATGACATTTAGTGTTTCTTGATTAATATTAGTAATTCATAATATAAGTTGTTTAAAAATAAAAATTAAAATTAAACAGTTATTTCAAATTTTTAATTTTCGTTTCTGTCGACAATCCCCATGTCTGATAATTTTTTAACACTCCCGTTCATTCATTCTATGTTCATGTTTTCCTGTAATTTGTACGAAGATTTTTTTTTATGTGAGAAAGTTGCAAGCGAGCCGGCAGGTCACCTGGTGTTAATTCATAACCGCCGCCCATGCGCATTTGCAACGTCCGTAGGGTTGCTGATGCGTCGCTAAAAGCTTCTCGCCTCTGCGCGGATCGAACCCACATCCTCCATATTCGCGCCCCGACGCTTGAACCACTAAGCTAAACGGCCGCTTGCCACACACGAAAATCTCAACGACTTTATTTGCATTGTTTTTTCAACAATGCCTGGGGCATCCATTGGATCCATCCACTGGTCACCCAGTGGCCATAACTAATTATAAATGGTAGCGTGTTAAATGTTCTTTTTTATATCGTTTTACAACGATAATTCGAACGAGAGATATCACCATTGCCATATGAAATTTGAATTTTTGTAGTGCCAATCTTTGCACTTTGATAAACCATTAAAATTTGTGGAAAAAAGGACGAAAAGTTTATCGCCTCTGCCGTTTAGGAGGAGTACAGCAACACACACACGTACGAAAGATTTGTATATATAAAGATATGACGAAACACAAAATCACTAAGCGAGCGAGCTATGTAAAGGGCTACGCTCGGTATCTCTGCGTGATAGAGTTCGCAATGCAGATGTCCGCAGTAGAACAAAGGTAACCGACTTAGCTTATGAGATTAATTGCCTGAAAGGGCCACAGGCCAGCATAGCTCGTAGAACTGATAATTGATCGAGGTGAAAGGTTTTCGAGTGGCGGCCTCGTATTGTAAGAAAAACCTCCTAGATAGAGTGAGGAATGAATGAATGAATATATTTTTACTGTCCACCACACATAAAAAGATACAGAGCAACAATAGATAAAAAATATGGAAAACCTGTGCAAATGTGTGGGAAGTCGATGGATGCAGGTGGGTCAGGATCGTGCTTCGTGGCAGTCTGTTAAGGAGGCCTATGAGCAATGGACTAAAACAGGCTGAAATGATGATGGTATATATATATCGACTTAATCAACCTATGGCATAAAACTTTTTCTTTTGTGAAACGTTGCCAAGCGAGCAGATGGTTCACGTGATGTTCAAAAAATCGCCCATCGACATCTGCTACGCTCGAGGGCTTGTAGATGCGTTGACGGCCTTTTAAAAAGTGATCCCCGGCTACCTCACTCACCAGATGAAACGCAGAAGTGTAACACTTCCACTTCACGCCGGTCTTTCGGTACTTACTCGGACGGACCTGCCCATTCGTGCAACAGCGAAGACCTGCGTGGCCCTACCACAGTTAAAACATCTAGTAGGTTCATCGCATTCTGAGCGATAAGACCGCCTATTGTACTTCCTTCTGCATTCACTTGTAATTTGCTTTTTATAACCGTTTCGTTACCATCGCGACAATATATGAACACGTCTAACGCTACTTGCCAATAATCATAAAAAATATTAACGTTAAACAAAATCCATAATTAAAAAAAATATATTTTTCAAACAAACTAATTAAGTAAAAAAGAAACAAAATTTGTAACTCGCGCCACAGCGTCGCATTACAAGCCTCTTCTTCTAACAGTATGTTTTGTCTCTTTTAAATTCATTCAACCCATTCATATGCTTTGTGACCTTTACAAATGAACTTTACGTTACAGTTTTATACATAAGGGTCTAAAATTCTTTGTTTTGGAAAATTTTATAACTCGGTAAATATTGATGGTTGAAGAATGTAAATGTTTAATACAATTTTAAAAAGTTATCCTCTATATATGTGTTCATTTATTGTCGCGGTGGTAACGACACGCTGTATATAAATATATGTGGGAATGGAATGCGAGGACCGAGTGAAAGAATGAATAAACGAATGTAGGTTCAATGAGGGATTGATAGTGAATGAATGAGAGGAGGGATAAAAAAGCAAGATGGAGTCTGGTGGGAGTGAAGACGAGGACGTTCTCTAAATCTATCTTTAATAATGAGTCCTATGTTTGTGACGGTGATTAAAGATTATAGTCTATCGGAAACAAGTCTACTTATTGCTACGAGCATGCCTTCCCACATATATACTAGCGAGCCGCTCCGGCTTCCCACGGGTGCATTGTATTATATATACAAACCTTCCGCTTGAATCACTCTATCTAGTAAAAAAAACCGCTTCAAGATCCGTTGCGTAGTTTTAAAGATTTAAACATACATAGGGTCAGACAGACAGCGGGACGACTTTGTTTTATACTATGTATTGATATATTTTTTGGTGTAGAATAAATAAATAATAAATGGGTTATAACCGTTGAGCCAATACCGAAATTATATAACGGTACTCGGCTCTGGCGATAACGGGGAAGCCTATTATGTTAAACTTGGCTCACAATGGCGCGCCCCCTTTGCTATTGATCCGGGGGACTTTCGGTATCCGCCGCGGTAATTTCGGTAATTAATAAGCGATTAGCGTCTACTAGCCGATACCCGCGACTTCGCTTGTGCTTCACTACATAGTATAAAACGAAGCCGCTGTCTGTCTGTCACTGTGTATGTTTAGATGTTTAAAACTACGCAACGGATCTTGATGCTGTTTTTTTTTAGTAGAGAGTGATTCAAGAGGAAGGTTTAACATTGTACCCGCACGAAGCTCGAGTCGACTCGCACTTGGGCGGTTTTTTTTTGGTTATGTCTATACTGTCAATATGATTGTTTTACCTATCTGTTTTACATATAATTAATATAAATTATTATTCATTGTAATTAGTGGTAAATAAATAAATATGTAGAGGGGGGTTGTGTAATGTGCGGGAAGTCGATGGATGCAGGTGGCTCAGGATCGTACTTCATGGCAGTCCGTGGGGGAGGCCTATGTTCAGCAGTGGACTCAAACAGGCTGAAATGATGAAATAAATATGAAAATAATCAGTCCTTTGGATCAATTATATAATAAAGTGGAAACATTGACAACAACAAGATATCACTTAAGAAGTCTAACACTAGGTTTCAAATCGCGCCCCAGCCTCTGCTATACCGGCCTACGAAGCCACTGGGTCACCGGTGCGTTATTTATTAAATAACAATCAACTTATTTATGAAATGACAAATTGCGATAACATATCATTAGCACGGGACAATTATGAAATTTTTATCGGGGATTTTCTTCGTGGAGTTCCAAACCGTGCAATATAAATGTTATTACGATAACGATAGTTGCAGTGATTTTAATTGCGTTTCAAACTAAAAGTCAAAACAAGCCGCGATGCCATTGTTTCCTTTTGTAGTAACGAGTGAAACGTTTTTATTTAAAAAAAAATATACGAATAATTTTTAGTAATTTAATTTATTATTGATGTGTTAACTAATCAGAAATTATTGATATTTTTTATTATACAGTAACAATTAATAAATAATTTAATTGAAATTATTTAATTTATTTTTAGACAATATATTATCGCGTTACTCGTTTCACTTAACTTAGTCGCGTTTAAAGAAGTTTTACTTCAGAAACAAAATGGACATCAAATATCAGTGTCACTATGCATTTTCTGTTTGTTTTGGGGAGCTAGTTGATATATCTTCGGATCCGAAAGTCCAAAACCGAGCCAAACCGAACCCAATGCAAAATGAATTTTTAAGATCGGTTCCTTAATAACAGACTAATAATATAATAATATAGACATAAACAATCGAATCGAGAACCTCCTTTTATTAAGTCGGTTGAAAAAGGCCTACATTTCCCGCCTCACGAAAAACCACTTCCGCTACAGGCCCGGAAGTACCGGCGAAGGGGAAGTACCGGTGAATAGGAAGTATGTGCGATTTTCCTTTATCCTTTCGTCCTTTGAGTGAGGTAACCGGTTTCCATGCTCTCGATTGGCAACACGAACGCAACATTCTTCTTACCATTAGGTGTTTCCCCTTTCCAAGTTCCCATCCAGCATTAATATATATATAGAATTAATGTATAATTATGTTACAAAATTTATGGCATAATTCTTACTAATATTATAAACCTGAAAGTTTGTATGTATGGATAGATGTTTGTTACTCTTTCACGATTTTAATGAAACTTTACAATAATATAGCTTATACATCAGAAATTATTATTATTTTTTTTTATGTGAAAAGTTGCCATACGAGCAGACGATTCACCTGATAACCTAACCTTCACCTAATATTCATAACATTAACTCCAGGTTTCTGAAACACTGATCATTATAGAAATTAACTAATCAGCTATCAAATTTCTTTTGAGTTGCCAAAAGGATGGTTAAACTCTCTGAATTTATCAGACTTATATGACATTTGAAAAGCCATTTGACAGTTGATTAGTTAATTTCTACGGCGATCAGTGTTTCAGAAACTGGGCGTTAATCTAATAAACCTAACTCACGTGGCACCATCAAGAACACTAGCTGCATTTCCTCGCTGAATAGTTATGCTTAACCTTACGCGGCGTAAACCTTTCAAAAATTTCGATGTACGGGGACCCCACAGACTCAAAATTTCAACAGCGAATGGCACAAATACATAATCTAATAATCGAAACGAGGAGACCCA